TAGACGACGCCACAGTCTGGTGCTGGGTCCTAGTAGACGACGCCACAGTCTGGTGCTGGGTCCTAGTACACCTATATGACAGCAATCGTGTCATAACTCCCAGCAGACACCTGGATGACGACTGCAACAATTACAACAGTTGCCTAACTCCCAGGTGCCTATTCACCGTTAGGTGAACAGTTGCATCAGGTGAAAGGAAGCATTCCCCAAAACAGCTCGCCCTGCCTGGAACTCGAACCCGGGCCCAATTGGTCGTGAACGAACTGCGCTAACTGCGAGAGATTAATATACAAGTATAAGTATGAGCAGCGTATACTTCAGGCTGAGCCTCACGTCCCTCACACTCTATACTTAAGACCTGCTTATGGGCCAACAACCAGGTCGGTACCCAATTACTGCTGGGTGAACAGAGGCGAACAGTTACGGACTGGTGCCCAATCAGTCCTCCCTTTTCAGGGCCCGAACCCAGACTGGGCTTGTGGAGAGAAGCAACAAGCTAGACGTCCCTCCTGAGGTAAATAGGTTGGGTTAAGCGAGGCGCAGCGAGGGAGAGCCAGCAAGGGTATTGTTTACACAGGGATCATGGCCACCACCAAATTTCATTTCCTCGTGACCATGGCCATGATATCACGTTCTGGCAGCCCTCTCACGGGAAAGTATTAAGGGCTTTCGCTGCTGATTCAGGAGAAAGTATCAGGCGTTGGCTACTGGCGGAGCTGAAGGTGACATGTTCACGCTACTTACGAAGACGAAGATGGCATGTTCAGGCTTCCGACAAAGATGAAGGTGACAGGTTCAGGCTATTGACGGAGGTAAAAATGACAGGTTTAGGATACTGACGAAAATGACAGGTTCGGATTGCTGATGGACATGAAAATGACAGGTTCGGATTGCTGATGGAAGTGAGAATGGCAGGTTCAGACAACTGACGAAAGTGACAATTTCAGGCTACAGACAAAGGTGAAGGTGCCGTACCACTGAGGCCAACCATCAGCCTGGTGATTGTACCTTTATAAGTAACGGGTTTGATCCGTTACTGAAAATAACAAGAATTACTCTAAGATAACAGCATAAAGTTCAATCAACAACGAGTCGTATCTGCCTGTGACTGTGACGAATGATGAGGCTCCGTAGTCATCAGATTGATGCAAGTCATCAAGGCCTACACAGTCGTTGGTAACGGGCCTCAGACAGTCAATGGTAACGTTGGTAACAGCACTTTGACTGTCATGAAAAATAAATGTATTGAAGTATGAACGTTGGTTGGCAAGGATGTATGATAGTAACGGTAATTGTGTGTATATATGTATACCTGGTGACCTGTTGTATACCTGGTGACCTGTTGTATACCTGACTATACACTGACACTGTATTTCTTGTTGATAATGGTAATAGTCACATGTAAATAACGGAACTGTTCGCTCAGCGTTTGCAACGGTCTTGAACACAGGGAGCTCGGACCTGTTTCTGGTAAAAGCGTTCCGAAGTAACGCTGGTAACGGTTTCTGGCAGTAACGCTGGCAAAGGTGTTCAGGAATAAAACTGACAACGTTTCACCATGTGAGAAAACGTTCAATTGTTCACTTGGGCTTGGGTCTTTATCTACCATACTGACTATGCCCCACTTCTGGTACCTCTCTCTCTCTCTATATATAAATATATATATTATATATATATATATATATATATATATATATATATATATATATATATATATATATATATGTATATTTCATTGAATATGATCGCATATTCTGTATTCATTATTTTCTGGTTTAGGGCTTCTATCCCTCTAACTATTTTCTTAGCATCAGGGCTTAATTGAAATAGGAGTTCTCCAAAACTCATTTTCGTACTTATAAGGTGAAGAAAAGAAGTGATTTACTATAGAGTGTATTACACTTATTTATATAATTTGCACAACGTTTTGAACTTCCATGGTTCAATCTCAAATGAACAGATCTTACAATACTAGTTGATTTTATACCCGCACTGGGTCAGGTGATAATACAATAAAAGTGAAAACATGGGAGGATATTCACTTTTATCCACTTTTGATTCACTTTTATTGTATTATCACCTGACCCAGTGCGGGTATAAAGTCAACTAGTATTGTAAGATCTGTTCACTTGAGAATGAACCATGGAGGTTCGAAACGTTGTGGAAATTATATAAATAAGTGTAATACACTCTATAGTAAATCACTTCTTTTCTTCACCTTATAAGTACGAAAATGAGTTTTGGAGAACTCCTATTTCAATTAAGCCCTGATGCTAAGAAAATAGTTAGAGGGATAGAAGCCCTAAACCAGAAAATAATAAATACAGAATATGCGATCATATTCAATGAAACATGTTTGAAAGAAAACCTGCTGCCAGTATACACCAATATATATATATATATATATATATATATATATATATATATATATATATATATATATATATATATATATATATATATATGTCGTACCTAGTAGCCAGAACTCACTTCTGAGCCTACTATGCAAGGCCCGATTTGCCTAATAAGCCAAGTTTTCATGAATTAATTGCTTTTCGACTACCTAACCTACCTAACCTAACCTAACTTTTTCGGCTACCTAACCTAACCTAACCTATAAAGATAGGTTAGGTTAGGTAGGGTTGGTTAGGTTCAGTCATATATCTACGTTAATTTTAACTCCAATAAAAAAAAATTGACCTCTTACATAATGAAATGGGTTGCTTTATCATTTCATAAGAAAAAAAATAGAGAAAATATATTAATTCATGAAAACTTAGCTTATTAGGCAAATCGGGCCTTGCATTGTAGGCTGAAAAGTGAGTTCTGGCTACTAGGTACGACATATATATATATATGTCGTACCTAGTAGCCAGAACGCACTTCTCAGCCTACTATGCAAGGCCCGATTTGCCTAATAAGCCAAGTTTTCCTGAATTAATATATTTTCTCTAATTTTTTTCTTATGAAGTAATAAAGCTACCCATTTCATTATGTATGAGGTCAATTTTTTTTAATTGGAGTTAAAATTAACGTAGATATATGACCGAACCTAACCAACCCTACCTAACCTAACCTAAGCTATCTTTATAGGTTAGGTTAGGTTAGGTAGCCGAAAAAGTTAGGTTAGGTTAGGTTAGGTAGGTTAGGTAGTCGAAAAACAATTAATTCATGAAAACTTGGCTTACTAGGCAAATTTGGCCTTGCATAGTAGGCTGAGAAGTGAGTTCTGGCTACTAGGTACGACATATATATATATATATATATATATATATATATATATATATATATATATATATATATATATATATATATATATAGGGACATGTTTCCTCGGCGCATGGGTACCCAAGCCTTCCCATACACCTGGGTATACACCTAATGCGGCGTATTTGTACTTATGAGCTTCCATTATCTGTAATGCTTTTCAACAAAATATGTGATTCAGTGTTAATGGTATTCCTTGAACCGCGCGAATCCTTATGCTGCGGCTGTTGCATGATGTTCACTCAACATCTGCACTGCTCTAGCGTCTCTAGACTGTTGATTCTAGAGAGTCTAGCTCTTAGTTGTTTGATCAAGTGTGTCCTAGAGGCTGTGGTATGATAATGTCCACAGTCACCATTTTTTAGTTGTCATTTTCGCTGCTTCATTTGCCACGTCATTTCCTGATGCTCGTTCAGGAAATGTCGCCACGTCGTCGAGTGTAACTAATGGGTGTTAGGCAGTGATGTCATACTTAACTAGTTGCGGCCTTGAGGTGACATCCCACATAATTTCCAGTGGTTTGGCAGTGACATCATACTCAACAATCAGATCTGGCAGTGACATACTTAATTAGCCGTGGTTTTGCAGTGATATCACACTGAACTAGCAGTGGTTTGGCAGTGACTTCACACTTAACAAGCAGTGGTCTCAGACCTCGTCCTCAGACCAACACCGGCGGACGAACTCGTCTCCAGACCACGCTGGATAAGGTAAGGTAATTATCAGGGGACAGTGCCAAGCCACGCTGGATAAACTACCGTACTGGCAAATCACTAAGTCAGTTTTATTGTGTTCAATTTTCGAAAAAAAAAACACAAATGACGAATTTCATCACGAAGTTCAGTTATTAATCAGTAACCAATCATTGTCTAATCATATCTTGCGACCAATGAACACTACGTGTTATCAGTTAACATTAACCTTTATTACCACCAAGACTTTAGGCAACACAGAAGCATCAGGGGAAAGAAGTCGTTTTATCACTGAGATCCAAGATATCATCTCTGGGTCATTAACGACTCCGTGTTCTTGCAACTATGATATTACTTCATGTACTGTGTACAAGGATAGTTACCTTGGATATAACGTAACCAATACAAATATGGCCAGAGCCGTTCGTGGACGCTATTCCGGGAAGGTCGTGTGTGTTCACGTGCCAAGTAGTGCCAACACCAGTACCTGGCTAGTGTCAACGACCCGAGGGGGGAAGGCGAGTAGTTTTAGGGGTCAGAAGGCGGCTGCCAACGAGTCCACGCCCGGGTCGTGTCTCCTGTTACCGATTTACATGTACTCGATGCCTGTCCGACGTATAAAGGGCCGCGCATTGCTGCTTCAACTGCTGATTATGGCAGGCGAATTGCCATCGCCGAGACCAACACTATTTAAAGGTGAACAGGTGAGTTGATTCGGGCGACGCAATCCTCCAGCTGGGCCGCTTTTTTAGCGGGAGAAAGTTGAGTTGTGGGTCGGGTCGACCGCATGCTCACCCGAATATTGAGGCCCGCGGCCCGCCATACGCACACTCTCTCACACAACACCCACATCATCAATTAAAAAAAAAAGCTTTTGTTGAGGCCAGTAAACCTCACTTTTAGTTTCTCAGTGGTCGCCCAAATTCCCACTAAGTCATCGACTTCCTCCAAGACTGCTGGAGCAGCTCCATTCACCGCTGAGGCCACAAATCTCCGAGCACTCATTTCTCCCACTTTTCCCTCTCCATGGGTGTTCAGTAACTAGTGGAGCGACTCCTCGGCCTCCTGTGTTGGGTGGCCTCCACTGTGTTCAACCTCCTGTGTTGGGTGGCCTCCACTGTGTTCAGCCTCCTGTGTTGGGTGGCCTCCACTGTGTTCAACCTCCTGTGTTGGGTGGCCTCCACTGTGTTCAGCCTCCTGTGTTGGGTGGCCTCCACTGTGTTCACCCTCCTGTGTTGAGTGGCCTCCACTGTGTTCAGCCTCCTGTGTTGAGTGGCCTCCACTGTGTTCAGCCTCCTGTGTTGGGTGGCCTCCACTGTGTTCAGCCTCCTGTGTTGGGTGGCCTCCACTGTGTTCAGCCTCCTGTGTTGGGTGGCCTCCACTGTGTTCAGCCTCCTGTGTTGAGTGGCCTCCACTGTGTTCAGCCTCCTGTGTTGAGTGGCCTCCACTGTGTTCAGCCTCCTGTGTTGGGTGGCCTCCACTGTGTTCAGCCTCCTGTGTTGGGTGGCCTCCACTGTGTTCAACCTCTTGTGATGTGTTCAACGCCTTGAACATCCACGCACTATGAGAGTCTCCGATCCGACGAAGGCCTCCACCCCGTACTGAGTATATCCCCAGCAGGATTCCTGCCGTGGTCCGCCCGCCTGCACGATGACCCCCACCACCACACCACCACCAGCAGGGGCCCGCCTGCACGACGACCCCCATCACCACACCACCACCAGCAGGGGCCCGCCTGCACGACGACCCCCACCACCAGCAGGGGCCCGCCTGCACGACGACCCCCATCATCACCACACCACCACCAGCAGGGGCCCGCCTGCACGACGACCCCCATCACCACACCACCACCAGCAGGGGCCCGCCTGCACGACGACCCCCACCACCACACCACCACCAGCAGGGGCCCGCCTGCACGACGACCCCCATCATCACCACACCACCACCAGCAGGGGCCCGCCTGCACGACGACCCCCATCACCACACCACCACCAGCAGGGGCCCGCCTGCACGACGACCCCCATCATCACCACACCACCACCAGCAGGGGCCCGCCTGCACGACGACCCCCACCACCACACCACCACCAGCAGGGGCCCGCCTGCACAACTACCCCATTTATTATCTAAATTCTGGAACAGTGGGTTATATGCTGACCCAGTACCCAAGATTTAGTATTTACTGTGCCTCTGCAGCAGTAGCAGCTGGTGCACCACCTGATGCTGGTCATAAGAGAATGAGTCAAGAGAAACTATCAGCATCAAATAATTATCAGGGGTAAATATCCAAAGTTGACCACTTTGACCAGATGTGGGTACGAGGGTGTGTGGGTACGAGGGTGTGTGGGTGTGTGGGTACGAGGGTGTGTGGGTGTGTGGGTACAAGGGTGTGTGGGTACGAGGGTGTGTGGGTACGAGGGTGTGTGGGTACGAGGGTGTGTGGATATTGGGATATGTTAGTGTATTGCAAGAGTCGCTCTCACGATCACATTAATGTTTAATCGAACAATAGTCTAAATATTATTTATATATTTATTCATTAGTGATCATTCACGCGCTCCAAGCCTTCAACTGATGTTATTGTTGATATCAATGGTAAGATTTAAAGAAATTTAGAATATTTGGAATGCGAAAGATCAGGGTGTATAGAAGAATGCATTTACAGGTGGAGTGTGGCATAGTCCAGCCCACTGACGGAGTGTGGCATAGTCCAGCCCACTGATGGAGTGTGGCATAGTCCAGCCCACTGATGGTGGGTGGCATAGTCCAACCCACTGATGGTGGGTGGCATAGTCCAGCCCACTGATGGAGTGTGGCATAATCCAGCCCACTGATGGAGTGTGGCATAATCCAGCCCACTGATGGAGTGTGGCATAGTCCAGCCCACTGATGGTGGGTGGCATAGTCCAGCCCACTGATGGTGGGTGGCATAGTCCAGCCCACTGATGGTGGGTGGCATAGTCCAGCCCACTGATGGAGTGTGGCATAGTCCAGCCCACTGATGGAGTGTGGCATAATCCAGCCCACTGATGGAGTGTGGCATAGTCCAGCCCACTGATGGTGGGTGGCATAGTCCAGCCCACTGATGGTGGGTGGCATAGTCCAGCCCACTGATGGTGGGTGGCATAGTCCAGCCCACTGACGGAGTGTGGCATAATCCAGCCCACTGATGGTGGGTGGCATAGTCCAGCCCACTGATGGAGTGTGGCATAATCCAGCCCACTGATGGTGGGTGGCATAGTCCAGCCCACTGATGGTGGGTGGCATAGTCCAGCCCACTGATGGTGGGTGGCATAGTCCAGCCCACTGATGGTGGGTGGCATAGTCCAGCCCACTGATGGAGTGTGGCATAGTCCAGCCCACTGATGGTGGGTGGCATAGTCCAGCCCACTGATGGTGGGTGGCATAGTCCAGCCCACTGATGGTGGGTGGCATAGTCCAGCCCACTGATGGTGGGTGGCATAGTCCAGCCCACTGATGGAGTGTGGCATAGTCCAGCCCACTGATGGAGTGTGGCATAGTCCAGCCCACTGATGGTGGGTGGCATAGTCCAGCCCACTGATGGTGGGTGGCATAGTCCAGCCCACTGATGGTGGGTGGCATAGTCCAGCCCACTGATGGTGGGTGGCATAGTCCAGCCCACTGATGGAGTGTGGCATAGTCCAGCCCACTGATGGAGTGTGGCATAGTCCAGCCCACTGATGGTGGGTGGCATAGTCCAGCCCACTGATGGTGGGTGGCATAGTCCAGCCCACTGATGGTGGGTGGCATAGTCCAGCCCACTGATGGTGGATGGCATAGTCCAGCCCACTGATGCAGGGTGACATAGACCTTCCAGTCTGTTGCAACACGTATAAAGAGAATGGACAATGACTCGTCAAGATAGAGAATGATGACATGAGCTGCACAAGAGAAAGGAAGACACAGAGAGAAAAAGATCATGTTAGTGAAAGGTGTTTGTGGGTACGAGGGTGTGTGGGTACGAGGGTGTGTGGGTACGGGGGTGTGTGGGTACGAGGGTGTGTGGGTACGAGGGTGTGTGGGTACGGGGGTGTGTGGGTACGAGGGTGTGTGGGTACGAGAGTGTAGGTACGGGTGTGTGGGTACGGGGGTGTGTGGGTACGAGGGTGTGTGGGTACGGGGGTGTGTGGGTACGAGGGTGTGGGTACAAGGGTGTGTGGGTACGAGGGTGTGTGGGTACGAGGGTGTGTGGGTACGAGGGTGTGTGGGTACGAGGGTGTGTGGGTACGAGTGTGTGTGGGTACGAGAGTGTGGGTACGAGGGTGTGTGGGTACGAGGGTGTGTGGGTACGAGAGTGTGGGTACGAGGGTGTGTGGGTACGAGAGTGTGTGGGTACGAGGGTGTCTGGGTACGAGGGTGTGTGGGTGTACGAGGGTGTAATTACCTAAGTGTAGTTACAGGATGAGAGCTACGCTCGTGGTGTCCCGTCTTCCCAGCACTCTTTGTCATATAACGCTTTGAAACTACTGACGGTCTTGGCCTCCACCACCTTCTCACCTAACGTGTTCCAACCGTCTACCGCTCTGTTTGCGAAAGTGAATTTTCTTATATTTCTTCGGCATCTGTGTTTAGCTAATTTAAATCTATGACCTCTTGTTCTTAAAGTCCCAGGTCTCAGGAAATCTTCCCTATCGATTTTATCAATTCCTGTTACTCTTTTGTATGTAGTGACCATATCACCTCTTTTTCTTTTGTCTTCTAGTTTTAGCATATTTAATGCCTCTAACCTCTCCTCGTAGCTCTTGCCCTTCAGTTCCTGGAGCCACTTAGTAGCATATCTTTGCACCTTTTCCAGTTTGTTGATGTGCTTCTTAAGATATGGGCACCACACAACCGCTGCATATTCTAGCTTTGGCCTAACAAAAGTCGTGAACAATTTCTTTAGTATATCCCCATCAATGTATTTAAAAGCAATTCTGAAGTTAGAAAGCGTGGCATAGGCTCCTCGCACAATATTCTTTATGTGGTCCTCAGGTGATAGTTTTCTATCTAGAACCACCCCTAGATCTCGTTCTTTATCAGAATTCTTTAAAGATTTCTCACATATTATATAGGTTGTGTGGGGTCTATGTTCTCCTATTCTACATTCCATAACCTGGCATTTATTAACATTAAATTCCATTTGCCAAGTGGTGCTCCATATACTTATTTTGTCCAGGTCATCTTGAAGGGCATGACAATCATGTAAGTTTCTTATCCTTCCTATTATCTTAGCATATTCAGCAAACATGTTCATATAATTCTGTATACCAACTGGTAGATCATTTATGTAGACAATAAACATCACTGGTGCAAGAACTGAACCCTGTGGTACTCCATTTGTGACATTTCCCCAGTCCGATAAATTGCCTCTGATCACTGCCCTCATTTTTCTATCAGTCAGAAAATTTTTCATCCATGTTAGAAGCTTACCTGTAACCCCTCCAATATTTTCCAGTTTCCAGAACAACCTCTTATGTGGAACTCTGTCGAAAGCCTTTTTTTAGGTCCAGATAGATGCAGTCAACCCAACCATCTCTTTCCTGTAATATCTCTATTGCTCGATTATAGAAACTGAGTAAATTCGATGATTTACTCAGTTTCTATGATGAGTAGTGTGTGGGTAAGAGGGTGTGATGGGTAAGAGGGTGTGTGGGTAAGAGGATGTGTGGGTAAGAGGGTGTTTCTATGATGTGTACGAGGGTGTGTGGGTACGAGGGTGTGTCTTGCCCAAGGCCTTAGAAAATATTTGCTTGCCCATATCCCCCTTTACCCTGTGTTTAAGTGCCCCCCCTATCCCCTTGCCCTACGTATGATTACCTTCGTCACCTCACCTCCTGCTCCTTTGCCTCTTTCGCCTGTGGATTTAACCAAAAATTGTAAATCGTGTATTAATTCATTTCTTTCAGAGAGGAACGAAACGTTGTAGAAAATAAATACAAATAAATCGCTCAATAATTACTAGTTTCTTTACCATGAATTTTGGTAACTTGATTGTTCTTTACACCGAAAGTTAGAAAATAGAAGCAAAGCTTACGTTGTATTCTCTAAGATCAACAACACCAGCAATGTGCTAAATATATATATATATATATATATATATATATATATATATATATATATATATATATATATATATATATATATATCCTCTGATGTTATCCTCTTGATATGGGCTACAGGGGACAGATCTGGCGTGATATCAACCCCCAGGTTTTTTTTCTTTCTCTGACTCTTGAAGAATTTCATCTCCCAAATGATACCTTGTATCTGGCCTCCTACTCCCTGCACCTATCTTCATTACATTACATTTGCTTGGGTTAAACTCTAACAACCATTTGTTCGACAATTCCTTCAGTTTGTCTAGGTCTTCTTGAAGCCTCAAGTAGTCCTCCTCACTCTTAATCCTTCGCGCGCGCGCGCGCGTGTGTGTGTGTGTGTGTGTGTGTGTGTGTGTGTGTGTGTGTGTGTGTGTGTGTGTGTGTGTGTGTGTGTGTGTGTCTTTCTCTTATGACACACTCTTTCTTCCCTCCCCCCCTTACACGCACACGGAAGGCCCACTAAGGGAGGGAGGAGGTGCGGGCGTTGACCCACAAATATGTCTGGGGGCGGGGTGCCAACCCTTACGCCGCACCTCGCTGCCTCTCGGGCAGGTCCTCGCTCTCTACGCATCTTAAGCCATACCAACCAACCAAACAACTCTCTACG